AAGCCCACAACCAGACAAGGAACAGGAAATAAGGCTAAACCAGACATTCTCAGGCTATAAAATCTTAGTTATGTACAATTATGATGCATACACTAAGCAACTACAGTAATGATGTCAAATTAATACAAGAAGTAACCCTAGGCTATCAGGTATCATATATAAGGCAATTCTATCATGCAGTTCCTGAATACCCCTAGCCTATCACTGGCATGTTTTTCTACCATAAACATAATATCAATTACAGTGTGGGTAATTTAGGGTATATTTTCTTGCTCCGGCTAATCGTACACATCGCATCCTTCCTTGGTTACTTTTGAAAACCATTTTAAAACTTTTTCAGTTCTCTAGTTTGAGTCTGGATTCACACGAATGTTCACCCAATTCTCTCAAACCAAGGCTCTGATACCAACTTGTAACATTCCAAAAATCGTAAAAATTTAAAATTTTCAAAAACAACCATTATCCATAATTGTTTGCAAGAACATCCATTGTTTCAAAAGTAACATCATATCAGAGTGTCCCCAAAGTCAATATCATGAAATAGGAAGATGTGCACGATCAGGCCTTCACTTTCCCACGATCCTCTGAAGTACCTGAAACAATAAACTAAAACTGTAAAACAAAGCTTAGTGAGTTTCCCTAAAGTACCATCACACAACATAACAATAAAATCATACAAATATGATCCTTCATCCTGACTGGACCGCCTTGCAGGGCCTACAGCCTATCTGGACCTCTCTACGGGCCTTCGGCCTGACAATACCGCCTCGCATGGCCTACAGCCTATCCGGACTGCCCTGAGTGTCTTGGCCTTTAGCACAAAGTAGGACCGCCTCAACCCAACCACAATATGTTGACATATGCAACAAACAAACACAAACACAGAAACATCAAATACAGATAACCATATAGATCTACTAATTAATCATATACTAGCATAGCACTATCCTATAACCAGGCTAAATAATCTAGTGGGTCGGCATTCGTGACTTCGACCCATGAGTATAGTGAGGAAAACTCACCTCTCTGTCCAAGCAAAAGTTGAATAAATCTTTGCTCCCAAAACCGACTCTACCCGACACCTATTATTCAAAACATTGCCCGACATAAAATTAATATCAAATTACCCAAAATACCCTTTGGTCAAACTCAACAAACCAGTTGAGTCAACCCAGCCGAGTCAACCCAGCCAAGTATGCAGGGCATACTCAGATGTACGCGGGGCGTACTCCTTTTGACCGGGGAGTCGAGACGTAGACCGCGTACGGGCAGCGTACCATTTGGTATGCCCAACGTGCGTACCTGGTCAGCTAACCTTCTCAATAAGAGCTTAATGCATCAATACTTTTCATCTAAAACCAGATCTACGCCTAAAATAACATTATAATTCATAAAGTTTCCAACGTTATGACTTTGCATGGATAGAAGTGCTTAATACCAACAAACCCTAACTTCTTAATCCATTAGGACATCCTAGCACATGCATGGGGAAGAACTAAGAGCAAAGATCATATTTTATGCTTCTAGACATCTCAAAACGTTTAAGGGACAGCTTATATGGGCTAGATCATGCCATACTCATGAAGGTCAAGACTTGGGGACCAAAATGCTTGATGAATCAAGACTAACAAGATCTAAGGAAATGTAAGCCAAGTTCAAGACTTTATACCTCTAAATGATGCCAAAAGGTGATGATATTTTGGATCTAAAGAGTCCCCCTCCTCCAAGGTGTTCTTCTCTTCTTCCTTTTCTCTTTCAAGGCTACCAAAACACACACACAAAGCTCAAAAAGGCTCTAGATGTTTGCTTTGGAAGGTAAAAGTGGGTTGAAAGCTAATGAGGGAACGAGCCTTGGAGAGATAATGGTGTATATAAAGGGTCCAAACCCTAAAAATTAAGGTTTGAGGATCATGCATGTACGCCCTGCATATGCTATGTACGCCCACCGTACGTGACCTCAGGCCAAAATTACAAAAATGCCACTAGGGGCCATTTTGCAACATTTCTCATACACAAGGGCTAAAATACAATTAATCTTCATACTTAAGGTTAAAATTGGAAATACCTTATCATCGGAATGTTACAATATTTCTGCTAGCATCATGTTTGCAGAGACTGCTCATGAGACATTAACTGATCTCAAAGATCGTTTCTGTTAGAGCGATGGCCTTCGAATTTTTCAAATCAGGAGAGAGATTACTCATTTGAACCAAAATCAAGACCCGATCAGTGTTTACTTCGCAAAGCTTACGTCATTGTGGGAAGAGTTGTCTAATTTTCGTCCTCATTGTTCATGTGGCAAGCGTGAATGCAATGGAGTTAAAGAAATTAAGAAATTATTTCAAACAGAGCATGTGATGAACTTTTTAATGAGGATTAATGAGTCGTTTTCGTCAACGAGATGACATATCCTTTTAATGGATCCTTTACCTACTATTAATCGTGTCTTCTCTCTAGTTGCTCAATATGAGAAACAAAATTATGTCTCGAATGAGAATTCAAACTCTATGGCGTTTCTTGCTAAGTTGAATGTTCGAAAGTCTCCTGTTACCAATTCCAATTCCAACAATCAACGTCGTGATCAAACTTTATGTTCTCATTGCAAACTTCAAGGTCAAACAATTGAAAAATGCTACTAGTTGCATGGATATCCACCTAGATATAATTCAAAGGCTAAGATCAACTACATTGTAGTTGATGTTAACACCATTGAAGTCAATGACAATCACCTTAATAGCTCTCTCAATGATGTATTTCAAGGTTTCACGCAAGCTCAAATTCAACATTTAATGTATGCTCTTTCTAACCGCATGATTTGTATCAAGCTAAATGAGGAAACTGCGACAAGTAAACATTTCTCTTTATCTGTCCACAATGATGATCATTCACATGTTTAGATCATAGATTCAGGAGCTACACAACATAGTTTCCATGATATTCATATGTTTTTCAACAAAAGGAAGGTTAACAATCATACATTAACCTTACCTAATAAGATGGTTTTGCATGTTCACATAGAAGGCGGTGTGAAAATTGACCACTTGTTTACCTTGAAAGGAGTTCTATATGTTCCCAAATTTGATTTAAATCTAATATCAGTGGGATCTCTTACAAAGGCACAAAAATTGATGATTCAATTTACTTGTGATCATGCCTTTATTCAAGATACCCACCTCAAGTGGACGATTGGCAGGGCTGATAAAGTTCATGATTTGTATGTTCTAAATCTAATGGGAGCTTATACAAATCATCATGTCTATGTTGTTTCATTAGATGTTTGGCATAAGAGGCTTGGTCACCCATCAAATTAGAGAATATTATATGTTAAAGATCAGTTAGTATCTTTCATTTATAAAGATTTTTCATATTTTCATTGTTTTGTATATCTAGTTGCTAAACAAAAGAAGGTTCAATTTGTTTCTATGAACAATATTAGTAATGAACAACTTGATTTGATTCATTGTGATATATGGGGACCATTTCATGTTGTTAATACTCAGGGGTTTAGATATTTTGTGAACATTGTTAATGATTGGAGCAGATATACGTGCATATTTTTAATAAAAAAAAATTAAGTCAGATGTTTAGATGGTTGTACCCCGTTTCTACAATATGGTGCTTAATCAATTCAATAAAAATTTTAAGAAATTCATATCTGACAATGCTAAAGAATTGGATTTCTCCAAATTCTTTCATGATAAGGGCATTCTACATCAATGGTCATGTGTTCCAAGGCCTGAACAAAATGCGGTTGTGGAACGCAAACATCAACATTTCCTCGTCACATTTTCGGATGGTATGACTTACATGATTAGAGGTTGGTTATAGAGCTCTTTTTTTAACAACTGAATAATATTAGAACTAGCAAGAAGAAAAGAACAATTACAAAGATAAAGAAGAGGGTTTTGAAGCCAATCACTCCAAAAGATTATACCCTTCTTGTTTCTATAACTATACTTTGAAAAAGGACCTCACGAAGAGGAGAATTATCTCCACACACCACCTCATTACAAAATTTCCAAAGGATCCAGTGGACCACTCCCATAATACCTTCCAAAGCTAATTTTCAATTTTTCTGTAAGTGGGTGTCATCAAGCCAATTGTGCACTTGACATATAGAGCTTTGTTAAAGGACGTAATAACTCTAGGCCAATAAAAGATATCACAAAGAAGACTTTATTGTATGACTACTCACAAATAATATGCATGCTATTTGATTATTATAACGTAATAGTATTTAACAGTCATCACTTACTTGTGTTTGAGTAGACAATACATCGAGATTTTTCATTTGACATGATTTAATAATTTCAAAGTAACTACAGTATAGTTAATGAAACTAACTTATGTTATTACTTCAATGTAACTTTTAATTAGTAATTTTAATAGTTTAGTTTAATTTATTATTAGTCATTTATATTACCTAAATCACTTATTATTTCCAAAATAATTCATATGGCTGCCAAACAAATAGTGGTCAACCAAGGCACTCGAGAGGCAGAATCCTTCAATACATACTTTTTGGAAAATCCAACGACCAAACCAACCGCCCAAAAATCCGACTGTTGAGAGATAAACCTTAGTTCGCTACGAGACTCGGATTGCGTGCAGACTAACGATTTGTTGTAAGCTGGGACTTGCTCTGGACCGCCCAAAGACTTCCCGATCCAATATGATTCGGTCTGAAGTCTTTTTTATTATGGGTTCGGTTGTTTTTCCTATGTCAGATATGTTTTTTTGTCTAAGTTACAAGCCAGTCTTTTCATTCGAATAAAACACGCGTCATAATGCGTTAAGGCGCACCTTGACACGTTATTTGGGCGTCACACCTAACAAACTCACCTTAGACGTTTCGTAACGGCTAGACTACGTCTCACGTCACGCCATGCCTTAATGCACACCATGGCGCGTCTTTTAAAACCAAGGTGTTGATTCATATCGGCCTAATCGCCTCTAGTTTAGGTTTCATAATTAAATAGGCCTAAAGTGTTAAAACGATCATGGGTATTGGGCCATCGGCCCAAATCTTGTTCAAATATATTGACCTGTTAGAAAAATCAAAATTCAACGACGTCGTATCGCTTTTCATCTGGCTTTTGTCCGACTTAAGTGATTACTCAACTCCTACTCGCAGACTTTCCTCTTTGGCTCTCTCGTCCTGCAATAGCTCCAGAGATCGGCGGTGGAAGTGGTTGAAGTTGAATATCTCCGACGCTATCCAATCCAGGTACATGCTCGCATTTCCTGTAGTAAGTTTATGACCCAATTTCAGATTGTCGATCTTTCAGTGCTATTATATATAGTATTTCATCCGAAACTAGGTCTCATTTTTGTTCGATCGGGAAATTATAGATGTTAAACTTCATAATTTTAGGCTCCACGATTGAATATAGGGTGACCTGCTATCCGTGTTCAATAGCTAACCAACAAATCGTAGACCTCCGATGGCTCCCGCCGTTCCAAGATCCGGTGACGCTATTTTCGCCAACGTCGAGCGCGTGGTAATTTTTCTGTCTATGAAGTTACGATTCTGGTTCCGAAACTGAATTAAGGTTTCATTTTTGTTCGATCTGGAAATTACGAGAATTTGTATCGTAATTTGTGGGTTTTGAATTTTGATCGTTCGCAGAACGCCGAGCTGTTCACTCTGACATATGGAGCGATCGTGCGACAATTGCTTACAGATCTGGAGGAGGTTGAGGAAGTCAATAAGCAACTCGACCAAATGTATCTATATTCTTCTATAAAATAATTTTCACTTTCAACTTCATACATCCAGGCAGCTTCCGTATTCTTCTTCTGCTATATTCATTGATCTTTCGTTCTGTGATCAGGGGTTACAATATTGGAATCCGGCTAATTGATGAGTTTCTTGCAAAATCTAATGTCACAAGATGTGTTGATTTTAGGGAGACAGCTGAAGTCATAGCAAAGGTACACACTTAAAATCTTCTCTCGTTGCCATTGATGATGGATGATCTATCAACATTCTTACACACTCTTTGTGTTCTTGTTCTATGATTCCAAACAGGTTGGCTTCAAAATGTTCTTAGGGGTCACCGCATCTGTGACAAACTGGGATAATGAAGGAACTTGTTGCAGTCTCATTTTGGAAGATAATCCACTTGTGGACTTTGTTGAGCTTCCAGATAATTGTCAAGGTTTATATTACTGCAACATCTTAAGTGGAGTTGTCAGGGGAGCCCTAGAGATGGTATGTGCCTCTATGTTCTAATAACCAAATTCCTGAAATACCCTTTTCACATTCAGATTAAAGCAATTGACTTCAAATATTTCCCACATGTTTAGGTGTCAATGAAGACTGAAATCACATGGATTAGGGATATGCTTAGAGGAGATGATGCATTTGAGTTACAAGTGAAGCTTCTTAAACAAGTTCCAGAGGAGTATCCATACAAAGATGATGAGTAGTGTGCTTTTCTTGAATCTTTATTTATGTATATACAATATGATTTTTACATTCCTGTTTTCGTTTGTGATAAAAGGATTTTAGTACTTTTTTCTATATTACTATTATTTTGTTAGAACTTGTTTGGTCTTACTCCCCTTATTAAACTAGAATGTGGGCGCTAAATTACATTATTTTCTTGGGTTAATGTCAAACTGCAGCCAATAGTATTCAGTTTTTTCAATTATTTGTCTATTTACTACAATTAAAAGATTAATGACCCAAAGAACAGATTGAGTACTAATATACTATTGATCAGTCATTTTATGACATTAATCCTATTTTCTTTTATTTTTGTCATCTTTGCATTATTCCACAATCGATGCCTCTTCATTTCCTCCAAAATATACACTGATGCTTACCAATTGTAACACCGCGTATAACAGAAGATATCAACAAAAAAAAAACTTTAAATGTTATCCTCATAATCACAAAAGAAGCAAGTGGAAATTTCCTAATTACACCATTAAAAAGTCATCTAGTGTTAAAGTGTTACATACAAGTTACATCACCGAATAGATAAAGACATTGAAGTGATTATTCCCAAAAGCGAACAATTGGTCTCGACAAATGTATACATGTCATAAAATCAAGTCTTGGGCTAATACCCTAGTGAGAGCAAGTTGATATCAATAATTGAAATAAAGCTAAAGCATTTAAAAAAAAATTTGTAAATATGTTATGACTATGCCTAATGCAACTAAACATGCAAACATCTCATTCATGACCAACCGATATTCATGGAAATTGCTCAATTTCTTGTTGTTTAGATGATAATGTATCAATTTCTAACAATTTCCTTGTATTTTGTAAGATTTTATTTAAAAAATATTGATCGAAAAATTAGGATAAAAATTGAAGATATAGTTGTGAATGATAATGGAAAAGTCGTCATCACCATATCAAGTTGAAAGATTTATCTTGAAGATGGTGATGAAAGAAACGTCACAAAAACTAGAAACGTTGCAAAAAGGATTACGTCAAAAATCTTGAAAGTTAATACATCATTTGATATGGTTGAAATATTTAAGTGAATAAGTGGAGATTTTATAAAATAGTTTTATATAGTAATTAGACTTTTATAAGCCTTTTAAAAACAAGAGTCCTTATAATATTATAAACATATTTATAAGTCAGAGTTTGTGTGACTTTGATCCCACATTTGTGCATTCCTACAGTCAAGTAATTAAGCATGCCAACACCACTTTAAAAGCAAAACTGACACCAAAACCACTCAATACCCACAAGTTATCATCTTCAAGTTTAAAGCAAACAAACACACAAAGTTTACAAACCACACAGTTGAGGAGTTCAAAAACCACACAGTTAAAGAAGTTCAAACAAACCAAACAACAGAAACAGAGTTCACACACAGTTTTTTAAGAAAACCACCACCACTGCCGCCAGTAACCTTCCTTCCTGCGGGATCTGCAACCAAGAAAACTCATATCATGTCTAACAAAGCAATGTGGAAGGAAAGTCGTTGTAAACAGTCTTATAAAATTAAGTTGTGTTTTTTGTAATTTGTTATGATCATAAAAGAGTAACATTACCATGGTGTGTAACAATAAGTATTTACCTTTTTGCTCTTCATTGCCAGTGGCTATCTGTCAATGTAACAACCAAAAGGTGAGTAACTGAAAGATAGACCGTTTAGGACACTTTCTAATTGATTATGCTAAAAAGGCTAAAATCAAGAAATTGCATTATACTTTCATTTATTTGTGTATTATAGCATTCGACTTGCATTTCTTTTTATTGCACCATTGTACATCCAACTTTTTTCCTATTATGGCATCGTACTTTCAAAATCTATCCAATTATAGCGTTGTTTTTCTTAAAAAAAATTTCTTATTAATATATTATACTTTGAAAAATCTAACAAATTACATCGGTGGAAATTGCTTTCTATTTGAATGATTGTTGCTATAATTGGGTAGATTTTTCAAAGTATAATTTTGTAATATGAATAAATCAAAGTAGGGTGTTATAATAGACAAAAGGGATAAATGACGAAATAGCAACTTCTTCCTTTTAATTGTTTATTATAGCATTCTATTTTCATTTTAATTTTTCTATTACAAATTTGTATTATCATTTACTTGTATGATACAACATTATACTTTCATTTTTTTATTGCATTGCACTTTTAATTTTTCTATCTTATTAACAAATTATACATTGAAAAACCTACCATTTGCTTTGTATTCGAATGACATATGTGTAATGAGCTAGATTATTCAAAATATAATGTTGTAATAGGAAGAAACAAAAGTATGATGTTATATTAAACAAATTTGATTAAAAGCAAGAAATAGCAATATGCTTCCATTTATTTGTTTATTATTAGGATCCTACTTTCATTTCTTTCTATTACATCATTTCACATTCAATCTTTTTCTTATTAAGACATTATACTTTGAAATCTACCCAATAATAACTTTCGACTTTTAGTTCTATTTACTTCGAAAAATGTACTCAATTGGAACGATAAATATTGATTTTTTATTTAAATAACATTGCTATGATTGGGTAGAATGTAGATTTTCCAAAGGAGAACACTGTAATAAGAAGTGAAAGCAAGATGTTAAAATAAACAAATAAACAAAAGTACGTTGCTATTTCTTCCATTTAACCCCGAGTAAAATAAAAAAAAATAAACAGTACTTACTACATGGCACGAGAGTTTCAAAGAACGGAAACACGACAATCGGTGTCTTCTTATCATCCTCAGTTATACGAAACTCTTCCCACGTCGCACAAACCAAATTATATAAAATCTCGTGTCGCAACCCCGCAACATCTCTATAAACAAACAATATCTTATGCTTATGCGCAACAACTGAGTCAAACTGAGCAACCTCCAACCAATTACCCGGAAACGGGGGTACCTTCTTTGAATACCAACTCCCCCTCGCCTCATCATAAAGCCATAAAATAATTGTCCCACACGTCCAATCCACTAAGCAAAGCCGATCATGGAAGTCGATCAAGAATGAAATTTCTGCCTCGGTTGGAAGCGGGATTTCCTTGACATTACAATCCATATCAACCATAAGAATCGAAGAAGGTATATCAAACTCATGTTCATCCGATAGAAACCAATATAACTTTTCGTTAATGCAAACATGATTTGAGGCCAATGTACGCCTAAGATTCATTAGTGGATGTGAAGGAACACTTCCAAGCAATTCCCATTCTCCCGTTTCCGAAGAATAAACTTCACATTGTGAAAACCCCATTCCAAAATGAATCGGATCGCTAAAAAACTTGAATATCTTATAAATATGGAATTTGTTCGAATATAAAACCCCGAAGACAGGCATGTAGACAGACATGTAGCTATTAGGGAGGAGCACGACTTCACGAGTGGCGGGGTTGCAAATGCGTAACTCTATATCATACAACATCCGGTATTTACTCACGTCATTTATGCAACAAATTAGACCATTGAAGGAAGATATTAAAAGCGGGTGGTGTATATTTTCAAAACCAGGAATTGTGTATGATTCAGTGTAAGTCCCGTTGGATTCCATTAGATGGATTCCACGAACGATTCCATCTTCAAGCAAACCGGGATCATAGAAGGCTAAAAATTTGGTGTTGTCTTTGGACAATAATCGGTGTAAGATTATGAAATATTTTGTGGACATGACATCGTACCAGAGTTTTGAGATGGATTTGAAGATTAATATGTTTTTGACGGGAAGTCTGATCAGTATGTTCTCGAAGGCTCCCACGTCAGACTCCACAGAATCCCAAGTACCATTAAAAGGTCGCTTTAGCTTACTATAAAGCTCATCCGTTGAAGAGAACCAGAATTTTATCTGCAATACATGAATGAATAAGTTTGTCAGTAGTGAAAAAGGATAAAAGAAAGTTGTTGTGTAGTGCATCCTCTGAAATAAATTTGTCATTGCATGTTTATGCAACCATGTTTAGTATTTTTACTAATTTATGCAATGAAATTGATTTTTACCGATTTATTAAACAGTCTTTTATTTTGTTGCCGAGTTTTTACCAATTTATGCATGCATAAATTGATGAAAGATTAGCAACAAATTTAAACTTGGATGAATAATTCATGTCAAAAACCAATTTTGTTATATAAATTGGTAAAAAAATGAGTTATATAATTTTTATTAAAAAACTGTTTTGTTGCCTAATTTGATAAAAAGAAATTGAAACTTTGGCTGCATAAATATACCTTTTATTAAATACTTTGGGGACTCAAAATAGAGTAACTTCAATTTTACTAGAATTGCAATATAATAATAATAATAATAATAATAATAATTAATAAAAAAACAAAACATGGCCATGTTGCTATTATAGACTATCATTATTATATCATACTTCAACTAGATTTGAGAAAACAATGTACCTTCTGAAATGGCAAAAATTATACTACATCATACTTCAATTAAGGATAGCGGGTGCGAAAACCGCATGTATTTGTCATCGGTGACACATGAATTTTCGATTCCTACTAATGATTTGAAGAAGATATCATTCTAAATTAACGATCGTATTTGATAATTCAATTAAGAACCCCAAGTGATTCAAGAACAACATATGTGATCACAAATGACTACCCCATGATCATCATCAATTTCATTCCAAATCAAGAAATTTCGAATTTGAAAAGTCAATTATCTTGCAAACCTACAAATCAAGCATACATAGATTCTACTTCAAGAACCTAACTAAGTCAAGAACTACATAAGTGATCACAATTGGCTAATCATCATCATTTCTTAAAATAGATTCAATGTCAATCGAGTAAACAATTAGTTTGATCAACAAATAAGGATATGGGGTCATGTTGGATACCAATTAAGTATGCTCTATTAAAAAATGAAACATAGTATTAGAAAGATCAAACAACTTACTAGATGACGAATCATGCTATTCTCCTCCCACTTCCTAAGAGAAGCGAAGATCATGGTCCACATTTCCTTCCTTAGCCGTGTTTATAAATGCAACATAGGTGTATGCAATAACTTCACACCGCTTCATAATGCACGTGTCCATATAGAAGTTATGTAATGACTTGACATGTGTTGATATAGAAGTTATGTCACTGACTCGACAAAGTCGTGGATTTGCGTACGTGGTATCTTTTCATTGAGCCAAATGTTCACATTTTCTGTATGGGTATTGTTAACAAGTATATGCTCTCATTAGTCAAACTTTTGGGAAGAAAAAACCAAACAAAAAGTTTTTTTCGCTAATTCGTTAATGAAACTATAACACTGACATGATGTTAGAAGGCACATTGTCTCCTACTGGATCGTGCAAGTAGAATAATTGGCCAAATATTGCATGTATGCAACATGGGATTCCATATTTTCTATATGAATTAAATCAAGACTTTATTTGGTTGTTCTCACATACTTATCCTAGTGTGAGGATGTTGTAACATCCGGATTCTCATGTATTAGTCTTTAAATATTGTTATGAATTCAATGTGAAATTGTGTATTTTGACCTTACGACGGCGTGGTAGTGTTTTGAGTACCACGGTGCGGCACCGCTCTCCGTAAAAAACCCTAAGTTTCGGGATTTAGGCCCTATATAAAGGATATGAGGGATAGGGTTTCGTCCACCCTCAGCTCCCATTTCCCCAAAAGAACCCTCAAGCAAACCCTAATCTCTTGTTATCATTTGGAACTCATTTTTGGTGATTTGTGGCCTTTAGAAGGAAAAGGAAACTGTTGTAGAGCAAGGAATCACCAAGCTAGCTCAACTCAAGCTTTTGTGCATATTATGGACTTTTGGAAGTCCCTCAAACCATCACCTTTATTGTTATTTCATTTTAGATCTTGATTTTGAGTCTAGTTCTTTGTGTTGAGAAGATTTTTGTAACGTCCCAAATTCCAGAATAATTTTATTTTTATTTTTTAAATAGAATAAACACCCATTTTCATAAAGTTACATTCAAGTCAAACCATTTGTTCATAAACCATAATTCAAAATTAAAGTTATAAGGTAAACAATGCGGAATCTCGAATCATAAAACTGCTGATGTGTGTGTGTGTGTCTACAATCCCGCCTTTGTAATCTGATAAGTACGTGAAAAACATTTAAATCCACAACTGTAAGCCAAAGCTTAGTGAGTTCCCAAAATACCCCACACAAGAATACACATACAATGCATGCACAGATGAGCCTACAGTCTGAATGGACCACCTCGCAAGGCCTACAATATGCATGGACCACACTTCCGAGCCTACAGTCTAACTGGACCACCCCTCGAGCTCTACAATATAGTCGGACCGCTCCTTTAGGCCTACAGTTTGACTGGACCGTCTCGCAAGGCCTACAGTACTCCTCGACCGTCGGGTATCTTGGCCTACAACACAAAGTAGGACCGCCTCAACCCAACCACAATATGTCGACATATGCAAACAAAAAAACAATAACCATTAAATACATGTAATCATAACAGATCTACCAAACTAACAGATTGCTACATCATAACAACATCCTACACACAAGGATACATATTGCACTTATAGGCAAGATACATATTGCAGAAGGATACATATTGACTGGACCACCTCGCAAGGCCTACAATACTCCAGACCCTTTGATGTGCACAAAAGTACTTACTAGTCTTAAATTTATAACCTAACAAACTCTTACTAACTATGCACTTATAGACAGTGTACCTAGTCAAATTATAGTATAGCTTAGGTAAGTCGAGTGTCGATCATAGGGAATGAAATTCAATCAAATAAATTAACTATTTTTAATTAAACTAAGAAACAAACTATGATTTGGAGGTTTTTATTGATTTTCAAGATCAGAAGAACTTAAACTATCAACTAGCAATTAAACAAGCAAAGAAAACAAAGTAACTTCAAGAAATAAAAGAATACTTCTGCTTAGATCCGATTTCACTTTCTCCTATGGTTGATTTCTAATGGATAGATTATATTGATTACCAATTATCTAGCTTTTATGATCAAATATCTGGGCCTACCAATTTATGTATGAAAAGGCAATGATCATGCACAAGTTAAACACCAAATTGATAATATCACAATTGGACTATGAATGATATTAGTTACTCTCTTGTGATCAAGTTAAGCAACCAAGCCCTAATTAAAACTAATTATGCTCTCTAACACAGTTAAAGTTACTATCTTTAATTACTTAAACTAAGATATGATTAATCCTAGCTCAAAATATCTAATGATCATAAAAAACTAGGGGATAGATTCATGCAATTAATATGATCAATTAACACATAAAATTTGATTTGTAAGCAATGTACACTAGAACTAAAACATGCTAGAGGTTATAAATATCAAACACAAGTAAAATCAAATATAATCATCTAAATATCGAAATCAACTCATATGGATCAAGTTCATCTTCACCAAACAGAAGTAAAAGGTTTTTAGCCTCTCATTATAGCAGAAAAACACAATAGATCTAAGTAAAATAAGCTAGAAATGAGTATAGTAAGCAAACCAACTAGATCAATGTTGAATTATTCTAAATCTTCTTCAATTCTTGAGCTTCACTTCAATTTCGATCTTCTTCTGGGTTTCTAAGGGTTTTTAATCGCAATTAACCTCAGAAAACCAAAGACATGCCCCCTATTTTGACCTAATGTTCGGGTTTTTTATTATTGTAAAAATCTGATCACCACGTCGTGGTTGACCGCCACCACGACGTGGTCTTGGAGAAAATCATGTGTCTGCCAAGTTAGACTGATGGTCGCGAACATTCCAAACGTCACGTCGTGTTGAAAAACACTACGACATGGTCTTCAGTCTATTTTTTTCTTCTTTTGATTTAGCCCCCGTTTCATGCTTCCAGCTCCTCGTATGCTTCCTTTTTGTACCGCACAAGTCTTTGCCACTGCAAAACATATTTTAAACATAATAAGTATCTTTTGTTCCATATCAAGCATAATTGTAGCTAAAAGTATTAGAAATATGCATTAAATATGTAGTTAATTATGCACATATCAAAATACCCCACACTTGGCTTTTGCTTGACCTCAAACAAAACTGGTTTTATTATTATCATATCAAGACTTTAGCTACCAACATTGCACAAGACAATCCATTTCCATTACTCCAAGACCGCAATGCATGTATTTGTGTCTATATTTTTCCTAACAACTTCCCGTAATCCTAAATACTCACATTCTTCATAAACACTTCCCCACTTCTTTGGAACAACACTCATTTTATGCATCCCTCCGAATCCATCCCCAGAAAACTTTCTTAACCTCAAGGTATTTTTGGTTAAGCCCCCAAGCATACATATGGAAAAATATCCTAGAAAACAAAATTACAATAAATAACTTGGCAAATTTTGCCAAGTTATTAGGGTTTTGATCTTCAGTCACGTACGCCCAGCGTACGTGACAACCCTCCGTGTTCATCCATCCTTAGTACGCTAAGAGTATTCCTTAAGTACGCCCAACGTACGAAGGGACCAATTTGCCACAATTTTCTTACTAAGGGTAAGAAATGTAAATACCTGAATCCCGACTGTTACACCTTAACTTGTATGAAAGAGGTAATTAACTCTTTAAACATTAGAGGGGATTAAGTACCCTTATTCGTAGGAAAGATGATGTGACATCCCCATTTTCACGGCCCGAAAAGATCGGTTTTGTTTATGCTTTATAAAAATCAGAGTACCTCTTTTAATAAAAATGTTGCGTAATTTGTTCCCAGTAAAACATGATAAATATGTTATCAAGGCATTTCCGAAGAAAAGTATTTTTATTCATTTTAAAACATTTGGGATGTCATCGTTAATACAGAAACATAAGCATAAACAGAACTTACATTCATTATCACTAGTGACTTATATCTCCTTAATCTCTCAGTGTAATGTGACTTCATATCAACATCTGTGATATAAATAAACTGAGTGGGTCAGGTTGGGAAACCTGGTGAGTACATAGGGTTTTCAACCCACAATAATATAATTATTATGTTTAATATCAATCAATCAACCCAATTACCCAATCCCCATTATCTCACTCTTAAGGGTCTACCCTAAGAGTTACCTATCCTGCATTCGTTCATTCCGAAGACCCTTGCTTCCAGGGTTTATAAGACATGCACTAAGTCCATAGCTGTCAATGCTCGTTCGTAAAGCACTAATTCCATAGCTGCTAAAGTTCATTCATCAGGTACTAATCCATAGCTACCCATGTTTATCTATTAGGTACTAAGTCCATAGCTACCAACATTTATCTATCAAGTACTAAGTCCATAGCTACCAGCGTTTATCTATCAGGTACTAAGTCCATAGCTACCAACGTTTATTCAATAAGCACTAAGTCCATAGCTGCCAATGTTCACTCATATCATCTTTTATCTCTCATCATTCATCTACCCATGTTATTCCCAACATATTTGTAGATAATAAACACGTATACAGTTTAAATCATTTAAAACATGTATAAAATCATTCATCCAACATAGATAGCAAGTATACAGGTTATATGCACACATAGCACTTAATTTATATAAAATACTTCATATCTATGTGTAAGATGAAAGTAACTATGCACTCACTTGTTAAGGTGGTGATTATGAACTCAGACAGCGCTTCGTTATCTCGAAACAATTTTTCCCTTGACAAAACCTAGTATCAATACCACTAGGGTTTAGTCTAACGTTAACCATGACTAATTAATAGCCTAGCTATTATTACTATTATATAAGCATTAAACAACACTCTTATATAACTCATAATAATAGCCCAAATAATTATTTTAAGGTCCTAATAATGTTACTATAATTATTTAAAAGCGATATTAAAAATTGCGTAGGCGTAGCTCACTTACAGCGGGTTTTATAGAAAACCGGGCTTCGCTTGGAGCAGCGTTTCCGAACCGAAAGACCCTTTTTCTCGGGACTCCGGGAGCCTCGGGGCTTCCTTCGGGTGCTAGGGGGTTTACCTAGGCTTAGGGG